CCCAAAGCCCCAGTAGATAGTTGTATGTCATAGCTGCACATCCTTCTAGTTGCTGTATGTGGGACTCGGCCTCAGGATGGACGGAGAAGTGGTGCCTCGGTGCGTGCCCGGGATCCGAACCCGGGCCACCAGCATCGGAGTGCGTGCACTTAACCACCAAGCCACGGGGCTGGCCCTGCTTTCTGTTTTTGTTGTTTTTATCTTACAAACTTCTAAAAGTTGCCTCAGATCCTTTCCGGAAGGAGGCAGGAGTGATTTTGTCTGTACCCTCACTAACAACACCAGCCCCAGACCTGCTGAGGGTGGGCAGCTCCATATCCTTCCCGTTCAGGTGGGACCTGGCACAGACTCCAGGGCAGAGGGGCCTAGAGGCTGCCAGGGACCTCTCCTCTGCCTCCATTCTTTCCTGCTGCAAATGCTCTCATTACACCATCCCTGGTCTTCCCAGGAGCAAAATTCTGTTCACTCCCCTGTGGCCCCAGTTCTGCCATAGGCTGCCTCTTGAAGGGCTCTGCTCTCCCTTCTCAGGTTCCCCTGAGAGGGCTGAACCGCCCTCCACTGGTGCAATCAAAAAGGCCCAAGCTCTGAACCACACCCAGGTTCAAATCTTCAGCTGGACCCCACTTTCCAGCTGATTGGGCCTCCATGCAAAGTTGCTAAAGAGATTAAATTGTAGAATTTATGTATAGTGCCTGGCAACCTATAAACCCTCCTTCAATGGGAGCTTTAAAAATTATTCAAAGGCATAAATTGAGGCACAAAGAAAATGTCAATAAACTCCAATACAGTAGAATTGGAGTTCATACATCAGTCTTTGATCACAATCTAAAAAGCTAGAAACCAATAATAAAATCAGAAAATGGACTCTACACCTGGCAAATAAAACACTCTTTAAATTTAGTTATTTTAGTTATTTAACTATTAGTTAAATAGTTTAACTTTAGTTATTTAGTTTACCTTTTTAGTTTATCTAAATATTTAGTTCAACTATTTAGTTAGCAGTTTAACTTTAGGTATTTAACTCCTGAAACTTCTGGGTAAGGGAGTGAATTCAACATGTGTATGTAACTCCACACCTTTCTGAAATCCCACTAAAACAAAAGTAAGGGAATTTTAGAATTTTTTTTATTGAGGTCATAATAGTTAAAACATTGT